GTTCAAAGTATGCTAGTTATTTGATATCATATTGAAATTTAAATTCTCCTTCTACCTGGCAATTTCCCAGCTTTAGCCAGAGTCCGCCTTACATGTTGTGAATAGTTTTGGCTAATTGTTCTTACGACCGGCCGCCTGCCTAACATCAACCCTCTTTGGGAATGCATTGATGTCTAAATACTCTTAGAAAGCACATATGACTCGGAAAAATAACATTGGTACTTGCCAGGGCCAGGATCGAACCCGCGCGCTCATGCATGAGAGGCGGGCCTTTTAACCACTAGGCCACCACTGACTATATTGAAATTTAAATTATATGTACTAATTTAATTTAGAAATATCCGTTGAATAACATGTTCATAAACATAGAATGTATATCGACATATTTGAACGCGTAATTTGTGTATTTAAATAAGTAAAAAGTCACAAATAGTAATGACACAGTAACAACTTCTAAGTAGGGTAATATCTTTATGGGCGGACTGTGATTTTAAACGGAATACCTTATACCCTTTAGGTACAGTCCAAATAAAACATACACTTCATATAATTCAAAATAATTTCAATAATATAACGAACATAGTTGGGGCGACATATATGTATGTAGAATTATCAAAAGCGTTCTTGCTTATTGAACTAAGTACAATGTATTGAAATGAACCTTAATTTTGGATAATCAAGTTAATTGCCATCATATTTATAAAGTTTTAGATAATATGAATATTAAAAAAATATATAAAATCCCTTGTTATTTTCCTGGAAGCAATAACTGGCTCTAGCCGATACATACACTACCGACGCATTGTTAAAACACTACAAAGTGTAAAAAAACCTACAAAAACATTTAATTATTGTTATAAATTATAAATTCACTAATATTAAGTAAATAAATTATCTAAAATTAAGAGGTTTCTCCCATTCATGTTACCGTTAATATTTGCTCAATCGAATCCTAATCAGGTAGAAGCTATGGCAAGATTTATGTATTTGAAAACTACGTAAAGAATTTTGTAGTTATACGGAATTTTGGACAAAATAGATGATTAATTTCCATATGAAATTGCACTGAAAATACTTTATCTACTAACTGTACGGCTTAAAAACTACGTCTTTAAGGCTAGCTGATACATTATGCAATGTTTTCGGCTTATTTTCTTTTTTCACTGATTTAGTATTATTTGTTTCACGATATCCACGATGTCAGCCGTTATTTTTGCTCTTATTGTTATATATATAAAATTAATATCTTGTACAGATGTTAGTAATCTTGTGACTTCGTTTATTATATTTGATGATGCACCAATATCTTTGCTAGCCCCTGAACTGTGTTGGAAACATCGTAAGTTTAAAATTATTAAGAATTATTTTGTTTCATCTTCTGACTTCATATCAAGCTAATTTAAACCTTACTTTATGTGCATTGGGTTCAAATCTATTCTCAATTAAATATCAACCTTAGCAAACTGAGTTGCAGTCTGTAGTAATCGAAATGTAATAAATACCCACAGACAAATTGTCATAAATTACATATAAGTATATAAATGTATATGTGTGTGTGTATATAATAAGAATGATTAATTTATTTTAAGATGACACATTAAAATTATCTCGGAAGCTGTCAAAGGAGAATGTTTTCACGTCTCTCTCTCTTCAACCTAATATAAGTGAAAATTTTCTTCATCATATTTTAATTTTGGCTGATCTATCCTGTCCCGGCGCGAACGAGTTTCTGTTGCAGGTATGTGTAAATGAATACTAATATTATAAATGCGAAAGTAACTCTGTCTGTCTGTCTGTGACGCTTTGCGGCCTAAACCACTGAACGGATTTTAATGAAATTTGGTACAGATATAGAGTTGACCTTGAGAAAGAACATAGGATAGTTTTTATCCCAGACTTTTGAAAGGTTCTCTTGGAAATATAACCGAACTCCACGCGGACAAAGCTGCGGGCGGAAAGCTATTATTATTATAAGTTATAGTTATTGAAATCAAGTTTTATATAAACTCTGTATAAGTATATTAAATTTAACAATAATTTATTTTCCTATGATTTTATTTACGATACGGTTTGTGGTGATAAAGATCTTGAAGTGTAGTTGTTTACTTAAATCTATGAATCATTATTAATATTTGATTAACTAGAAAAATGTGAGTAAATTAAAGAATATTTAAATGATTAATATTTTTCGGATACTGCGCGTGATTTATTATTGTAAAAACAACATACTCCCGACGTTTCGGTTAATTTTCAGTAATTGTGTTCACGGGCCGACGAGATGAGAATGGTCACGAGATATTAATAAAACTTAAAAGTCTTAGATCCCATTAAAATAAAGTATAGACTACCAAAACCGCTCTTGTTGATTCCTACTAAAATTTTATTACTGCTTCTATGTATTAAATGTAACAGCTTTGTAATAACAACGACGGTAAAAATCACTCGTCAACAACTTGCCCAGTCTGGTTGGTTCTATCAATACTCTAACACGAAATACATATATTTATTATTTCATATCAATACAAAATAAATAATTAACATAAAAATTCGACTCCTACCTTTAAATCCAACGTTTTCGACATAAGAGTGTACATTATTTTGTTTTCCGTATAGCCGTCTTTCCATCTATAAAACTTTTGTTAGACATTGTTCCTCAGAAGATCAAGAAATTGTGTTAACATTTGTATAAAATATGATAGTTGGATTCCTCTAAATACAGCAACGTTATTGTTGTTGTTGTTTATTCTTTTTGGTCAAAAGAATTTCTATTCTTATAATTTCTTATTAATTATATTTTCAATCACGAGCAAATCAAGACATACTCTTATGTACATCTATTGCCTTAAAATTGTATTACATACCTATTTGGCATGAACCAATATAGAACAAGTTAATTAAATAAATTTGAATACCATTTAGGAGTTTCATTACAAAATAATTACTTATTATTATAATTTCATTTGCATATGATAAACTAACTGCGATTTATATATACATATGCTTTCCTTGGTTTACGATATTTTAAATACCTGTATTCATTAGCTAGATATTTCGCAAACACATTATAAATATACATATATACTATGTAGATGATCCGGCGGACTTCGTACCGTATCAAAAAATATCTGTTACTTTTTTATATCAATGAAGTTAATTTCTTAATTGACAAATATGAAAAAAAAAATTAAAAGATTGTTTATATAATTTATCATGTTTCATTGTCGCTCTATGTATATACAATTACGTCAAAGAAATATAAAATTTTGACTGGATATAATTTAAGCTCCAGTTACATTTATATTCAAAACAGTAATTAAATACTACTTAATTTATTAAAAGGACTACTGCAATCAAATCCTTTATCTACTTTAAAATCCCATCATAACACACTAGTCAATCCTGGATTTTTAAATTTCATTTCAATTAGTCTTGTTATAACAACTCCTGTGACTAAAGAAATGACTAATATTTTATTATCTAAAAATTAATTTTGGTCAATACTTTCTCTTTGCTACATAATTTAGTTTATTTATTATATTATTATATTTAACATATGTTGCCAGGCTAGCGACCAGGGCTACTTCAAGTCTCCCTACAAATGGTTAATCATAGGCGAATACAATAACAATCTGAAGGACTTAGATTTACCTTTAAACAGCGACGTTGTTTTCGCTCAACCACGTGGTGACGAATATCATTTGATTGAGGGCAAGTATTCTAACTTTTCTTTCATAAATGTATAACGTATGGACAATTAAAATAACTGTACTTAATATATAATAGTACTGTATAAGTTACATTATTGTAAACTTTTATTCAATATATATATGTATCACTAAGATTATGTACCTAATAAAGTTCAGCAAATATATTTAAAAACATTTGCTTTACAATATCTGTAACGAATGGGGATTATATCAATATATTTTACAATAACACATAAAGTAGAGGTCGTCTTAATATTTAATATATATTAAACCTTTTTTCTCATGTTACATTCTAACCTGAATAAATAAAACCTTCGTCTATTAAATAACAACGTTTCTTCGTGTCAAGATTGTATTTTATAATCTGTATTTGAATCGATATATTAATTTTAGCAATTATAATTACATTATGATTTATTTCGTGTCCTTTAATATATTATTGTAGACTAAAACTGTAATTAATATCATTTGGATTCTGTGTCAGCTAGTGTTACCGTATACGGCAACATTTTAATTATGAGTCACAAATATTACACATATGGTGTGGGAATTTTTATTTCCTTCATATTACTTTTTTAAACTAGAGAGAGCTAGTGTTGTATCACCTATGTTTTGATGTCAATGGAAATATAATGATTCTTCATTAAAATATTAAAAACTAATTTAAATTTCATGCATTGCTTTTTATGCATACCTAATGGTGTAATCATTAATGAATGGTTTTAAATTAATTTTAATCTATCCTATAATATTTTTTGTAATTTTAATATGAATGATTTAATATATTTTTTAATTACAGCGTATAAGATTGCCGAGTATTCAGATATTATTTTTAACTTGAGAGCCGTCTGGCGTCCTTCCAGACAAGATTTTAAAAACTCGACTCTAGTAGAAATCGTCCAAAAAAATAAAATAGTAAAGGTAAATGAACTTTAATAGATTGTTCTACAAAAATATTTTGACTACTAAAGAGTTCAAAGAAACTTATTAAGTGCCTTACATTAATAATGTTTGTCTATTTACTTATGTACTAATTAAATGTATTATGTATAGGGTGTAGTAGCAAAATTAGGTTTTTCTTTATAAATAATATAGTATAGAAAATGAAAAATTAATAATGAATTATTCTTGGAGCGAAAGTAAAAAAATATTTCATTACTTCTTGGCAATAAAAAACCAGAAATATAATTTAAACAAAGCTTTGAGAATAAAAATATCAAAAAAGGCGCGAATTTTAAGAAAATAGATTAAATAAATTAATTGTACTTTATTATTTAGTCTGTGTACGGCATTATGGAGGATTATAGAGGTGTCAGAATGTTGCCAGTATCAGCAAGACGAAAGGATTTGAGGAAACATAATCTGACTATGGCCAACGTCATCACAGATAGCAATGAGACCAGGCAACATTTGGACGATAGACTGTATGTTATAAACACATGACATTCCTCAAAACACATGCTTTTGCATTTCATAGACAATTTTTATTTTTTTTGGTTTAATTCGTACTATCCAGGACAGGCAAAGAAAAAAAAGCCCATACAGCCATGTCATTTCATTTCATAGACAATAAAAAATATTGGTGAAACAGAGTGTACGTGGAATTTGTCTCTGACGATAAATAATAATAATATAGGTCTTGATGCAAAATAAACACTTAAATATATGTTAAATTCCATTAATATTCACTGATTATGTAGGTAAAAGAATATTTTACAAACAAATATCTTTCAATAGCCATAAGGATAACACTATACATATACATATATATTTCTGTATATCATAATTAAACATCATTTAAAAATTTGAATTGACTTAAACAATGGAACAAATGAAATCTTTTGTCGTAACTCGTATCATATTTTTGACTCCTCATAAGTTTTGTATACTATACAATTTGAATTTATACCGTAATAAAAAAAAATTATATGATTTGATCAATTCATATAGTATATATCTTAGTTTTTCAATTTGTCTTTAACACTAGTTTTATTAATACATATAATATTTATGTATAAGTGTCAATTTAACTTAATCGTTATCAAAAATAACAGTAATTGCAGCAACAGGTCTGTCTGGTTAGCTGAGGACGTTGACTTTATAATCTGTTCACTTACTATCCGTTTCAACGTCAAACTAAAAACGAACAGTATTCACGTTTTTATTTATAAATTCATTCACAAATCCCTATTTACATAGTGTAGTATAATATCGGCATATTACATTGGTGAAATATATGAAGCAACGCCGCTAAATAAAGAAGAAGATTTACACTCGTAAAACTGAAATTATGATACCAATGTAAGGTTATCAATGAAAAAATAAATTTACTATGCTGGCTCGACAAGGGAAGTACCACCCTCTCACAGAAGATCGGCGTGAAGTAGTCTTTAATGGCTGCGTTTCGTCCGATAAGTGAGAGAGCCGGTTGCCCTTTAACTTTTCCCATCTTTTCCTGAACTTTTCCTTTTCCCTTCCTTTCCCACTTTTTCCCCTCTATTCCCAATCAAGGGTGGCAACTCTCCGCAAATTTATGTCGACGGTACAACCTCAATTAGTTAGGCCGTCTACTCTGTTACTTCTTTAGCGTAAAAAACGATCAGTTTGACGTTTCAAACATATAGTAAGTGAAAAATTACTCCGCTAACAGACAACAGGTTTGAATAGTAATTATATTTATATGATTTATTAAAGATATTTGTGTGTTTCATCTATTACTCCTACGTTTAATGAATACAGAATACTTTTATTATTAATGCATCAGTGACTCATAATAATAGATTCATTAATATTATTTCATTGTTTAATATTTATAATATAAAATTTATACAAAACAATAATTAGCATTATTATTTTAAGCAATCATATTAACCAATTTGGATACATATTCCAACTTAATTAAGTACTCAATAAAACTATTTGCAATTGAAAAAACATTATTACAACAGGCCTGAATCACCATAGCATTGGATACCAAGTAAAAATATTGTAAAGTTCTTGAATCTAGTAGTAACAATTCAGTTATATTATGGTATACATAAAAAATATTTATATTTATAATAGTTTTATTGCATTTATTGCTTAAACAATAAAAATATCTGTGAATATATGATGAAATATATATTTATTTATTTCTGTAGGAATCTTCATCAGGATTCAATAACTAAAATGTCGTATGTCGTGGCGAAGATTTGCTTTGATATGTTGAATGCTACGGAGAACAGAATCTTCACACACACTTGGGGCTACAAGGACAAGAACGGAAACTGGCAAGGAATTATAGATCACCTGCTGAAGAAGAAGGCGGATCTTGGTAGAATATTTAGAAATAATAGAAGATTTAGTATAAAATATTCACCTACACGAACGGAAATCGAACATACTTCTTATAATATCGTTTCAATTACTTTACCAAATGAGCTATATTGTCAATGAAGTGTTCATTTCATATTCTCTTATTTAAATTATACTTTATGCTAAGTATAAAAACGTATTTATAATAATGTTTATGAGGTTAAACCTCTCCGTAATATAGTTGCCAATGCAATGCTTACTTTCCAAGTATGTTTATTGTAAAAAAATAATAAATATTACATATTTTTTCATATGTCAACAGAAACAGAAAATAAAACACAGTCAAATTTTTAACTTATTTAATCTAAGAAGGTTCCTATGTGGTATTAATTATAAAGCCAATGTAGTTTTTTTTTATTTCGACTTGATAGTGATTGACTGTTATTCCACTCATTGGAAGATGGAAAGAAAGTTATAGCTGGTTAAATCACTACCTCATTATCAGCCTATTCATTCTTTCTGTTTGAATACAAACTTCGATGTAACTTTCAGGTACTCTAACAATATTTACTCAAGAGCGCATGAAGGCTATAGACTATATAGCAATGGTAGGCTCTACAGCAGTCAGGTTTGTCTTCAGAGAGCCTCCCCTGGCTTTATTGGAGAATATATTCACATTACCATTCACATCTGCCGTATGGATAGCGATAGTCATCTGCGTACTTGGTTGTGCTCTATTCCTATACATAACATCAAAATGGGAAGCCACTGTTGGAATGGTAAATAATTTATTCATTCATTCATTATTTCATTCATAGAAAACAGAATTGATTTTCTAAACGTAACTGTATTGATGAAAACATTATAATATAAGTTATAAATTATTGTTTAAAATATATACATATGTAGAACAGTGTATTATTAAAGTTATATTATATGTAGTGGATTCGCTTTCATTCCAAATATAACAGCCAAAAAGTATATTAAACAAGACTTCTTAATAACTCGACTCATTTCAGTTAATTAACAAAATTCCCGTTAACTCCACAACACAAGTTGTCTCTTTCTTTATACTTTTTCCTTAAATATTTCGTAGAAGCGCATCTGCCGTCCCAATGGGTCAAGGAGAAAAAAAGATGATTTAAAACTCCGCAATGGGTCACTTTCATTTAAGTACTCATAATTATTATTATAGTGTCATTTTGATATACGTATTGCAATTATTCTTATAGGTGTTGATGAGTGTGTGTGTGTGTGTGTGTGGGTGTGTGTGTGTGTGAGTAATGTGTATCTGGTTATGGTCATAAAATCGTTTTTCATTTGTTTCGTTACAGCATCCCTTACAACTAAGCGGTTCATGGGCAGATGTATTGATACTCATCATAGGAGCCGTTCTTCAACAGGGTTGTACTCTTGAACCAAGATACGCCGCTGGTAAGCAGTAAGACTGATTCAGAATATTAGGGTCTCCTAGTGTTAGTTTTTTATTGATAACCCTAATACTTTTATGGAGATTTCAGTTTCAAACATCCCGAATTTCTGAGTACAATTAAGAATCATAACCCATCGTGTTAAGCACCTAGCAAAAATTAAAAAAAATATAGGTTACCAGATATATGATGAATAAACAAAAACATTTAAATTATTTCATAAACAAAATAACTATTATCTACTATTGGTTTTATAATATTATCTTTTAATATATTCATGATGTTATAAAGTATCTATTATTCAATTTATCACACACACAGACAATGTGTATCTACACACACACACACACATACACACTAGCAATATCCTAAGCTATATACAGCTCTCCTTAATTATTTACATATGTCTATATCTATCTCTTTCTCTCCCCAGAACAAAACTCTATAATCATCTCTTCGTAGTCTCTATTTCTATCTCTTTCTCTCCAGGTCGGTGTGTGACCCTACTATTATTTGTATCTCTTACGGTACTCTTTGCTGCCTACTCCGCTAATATCGTGGTGCTGCTTCGTGCTCCTAGCAGCTCTGTGCGATCTTTGCCTGATTTACTGAACTCACCTTTGAAGCTTGGTGCAAGCGACTTTGAATACAACCGGTATTTCTTTAAGGTATAAAATTGCATAAATTATCAAGAGCTATAGAAAGTTATGGGAGGTACATTAGTCTTCCTTCAACAAAACTTTCTTCTTGTCTAAATGAGATCTAAAACTTTTGCGAGTATTTATTTAAATGTAACTAAAATCTTCTGTAGTATATTTTAGTTTTATAAAACAATAAAATACGCGTAGTAAACCGAAAATATTAGTTTCATTCTTGCCTAAAGTTTTATGAATAAACAAAATCTAAGTGTCAATTATCTGTTTTCAGAAACTCAATGATCCCATACGTAAAGCAATTTATAGCAAGAAAATAGCTCCGGCAGGCAAAAAGCCAAATTTCTACAGCATGAAGGAAGGAGTAGAAAAAATAAGAAAGGTATAACACAAATTCTATGAAGGTTTACTTAAATGATTATGTACCAAAATTTGCATATTTTCAGGGATTATTCGCTTTCCACATGGAACTTAACCCCGGGTATCGTTTAATCCAGGAAACTTATCAGGAAGAAGAGAAATGTGACCTGGTTGAGATCGATTATATAAACGAAATTGATCCCTGGCTGCCCGGACAAAAGCGATCGCCTTATAAGGATTTGTTTAAAATAAGGTCATAGAATTAATAAAAATTTATCGAAGAAATATTCACATAAACATAGACTATAAGAATGCAACAATAAGTTAGAGTTATAATATTTGTATTAAAAATGTTTTTATGTGAAATTCCATCCCTACTAATATTATAAATGCGAAAGTAACCCTGTCTGTCTGTCTGTCTGTTACGCCTAAGCTACTGAACTGATTTTAATGATATTTGCTACAGACATAGAGTTGACCTTGAGAAAGAACATAGGATAGTTTTTATCCCAGACTGTTGAAAGGTTCTCTTGGAAACGCGATATAACCGAACTACACGCGGGCGAAGCTGCGGGCGGAAAGCTAGTATTCACATATTATCGTACGGAAGATCGAAAAAGTTGCCATTATAGCTTCTATTTACACGTTGAATGAAAAGAGATTTAAACACTTTTCCCCTTTTTTCTCATATTGTAATCCTTTCTATATTACTACAATTTAAATCATAAACATAACTGAAATTATTGGCTTGTTTGTTACACTTTAATAGAAAGCAGTAATTATTGACAGTATATGCTACATAAATCATCTAAAATAGATTCAAACTCAAACTCAAACTCAAACAACTTTATTCAATATAGAAGTATTACACTTTCTTATTGATGGTCATATTGAGACTACCACCGGTTCGGAAAAGAAAATACCCTGACCTGAGAAGAACCGGCGAAAGAAACTCAGCGGGTTTATTTTTTTTTTTTTTTTATATATATATATATATATATTTCTCTCATATATTATATACACAATTTAATATGAGATGAAATAGCCAGGAGGCGAGCGTTTCATTCCCAAGGTGTGCTATCGTTCATAAACTCCTTAATTGTATAGTAACCTTTTGCACACAAGCGTTCCTTAATAATTTTTTTAAATTTAGCAATAGAGGCATTTTGAACGCTTTCTGGGATCCTGTTGTAAAACCGTATACATTGCCCCACAAAGGAGTTACTGACTCTATGTAGTCGAGTAACAGGAGTAACAAGTTTATGTTTGTTCCTTGTACCAATGCTATGAGTATCACATTTTCTCATGAAATCATTAATATTTTTTCGTACATACATAACATTGCAGAATATATATTGAGAAGCAACAGTCAATATCTTGATTTCTTTAAATTTATTCCTTAACGATTCTTTAGCTCCTAGGTTATAGATTGCGCGAATAGCCCTCTTCTGTAGCACAAATATAGTATGGATAGCGGCTGCGTTGCCCCACAGCATAATACCGTATGACATTATACAGTGAAAGTAACTGAAATATACTAAGCGAGCCGTATCAACATCGGTACATAATCTAATTTTTTTGACCGCGAATGCCGCAGAACTCAGTCTACTCGCCAATCCGCTAATATGGGGGCCCCATTGCAACTTAGCATCAACAGTAAGGCCAAGAAACTCAGCAGAATCAATTGGATCCATCGATTCCCCGTTAATGAGTACATCGGCTTTTACATTATGTACATTAGGTGTACTAAATTTTACAATTTTTGTTTTATTATTATTTAGCCTAAGATTGTTTACACTAAACCAATGTACTATATCAGCTATAGCATTGTTTACGTCGTCGTACAAGTTCTTAAACTATCTCTATTCCATTCCAGCTTAATAAAACTTCTTAATATATCTATATTCTGACCAGTTCCATAAACCTTTTTTCATGTTAGATATATTCCGATCTACATAGTTTCATAAATCTTAGTATCATATCTACATTCCCATACAACTTCATAAAACTTCTTAAGCTACCTAAATTCCGATTAGTTGTATACAACTTCATAAGCTAACTACACATTTTTTATGTTTTTTTCTTTTTTTATCTTTATAAATCATAATTTTCTTGCTATATTTGTTGTTTTTTTCCCTTAATTATTTTTCCTATAACCATGGAAATTGTTTTGGCAAAATTGTTTTTATATCCGAAATAATTTATTGTAATATAATCTTTATGTTTATCTATAAATAAAGGTCTACATATCTGGTGCAACAACTTCGTAAGCTATCTACATTCAAATACACCTTTCCAACAGTAGACCATATATTCTGCTCCAGCTTCATAAAGATTCGTGAGTCAGGAGTCCAATCGTGTGTCCATCACCGTCTGCACGTGGGTCGTCCACGCTGCTCGGGCAGCATTTCCACTTTCAGCAGCGTCGGCATCACTGACATGTACCCAGCTTTACAAGCCACGCTGTACGGCGCCTTCATGTCAATAGCTGTGCTCATGATGGAGAAAGTTCATTACAAGCTGTAAGCTAAACTAAACTATATCACGAGTGTTATACGTCTTATTATTGATTATTGATCTAGTTTGGAGTAATATTTATGCCTCAGAAAACTAAATCAATATAAAGTTTTGTTGAATTTTTATGTCATCTATACCATTTAGTTCGTTACATAATTATTTTTATGTAACAGATACGTACATGTTTATAGGAGCTATATCTACATAATAACTAAGTGTAGTCATTAATACACATTTTCTATTTGAAGTATCATATAAAGAATATCATTAAATTTAATTCAACTAAAAACGGACCCCTATTGCTTAAATTTCATTTTTCGATTATTCTGACACACATGATGCACATAATCGTATAATGCCAGAATTGCCTTACACAATTTTTGACAAAAGCTGATATTCTGAAATTACTGGACCGATATTTCCCAGATTTATATTAAAATCATGATAATCAAACTGCCTACAAATAGAAAAGCATCAAAATCAAACTCTTTTTGAGTGAGCAGTTAATATAAAAAGTGGCTAGAATAAAATAAGTAACGGAATCAAAAATTACTTCACAATCGGATAAAATAGTAAGGATATTCGTATAGTTATTAAATTAAATAATTATATTTTTAAACATAATTGTTTCAGAATACAAATGGGAAAGAAGAGGGAAGAAATGCAATAGACCTATTAATGAATACCTGTTAGAGGTTTAAAACGTAGTTTGTAGAAATATAATCAGAACTAAGTTATAATAAATTGATGAATGCACACTAAACCTCCTTAATAGCGGCTTATTTTGTCGGCCAATAATATTAAAGCTCACCAAATAGGTAATTATGTGCAATTTGTATTGCTTACGCTTTTGCTTTTAATGTATGGCCTCTAATACTAATGTTATTATTGCAATATTATATTTTAATAAATGTTTAAAATACTAACCCTTGTTTTATTGTATCTACTAATAAAGCAACGTTTTTGCATATTTTATTATTTTTTTTTTTATTTTGATAACTTGATATACTATTTATGGGTACATTTTTATATAGTCTTTTAGTAATAAGAAGTTGAAAGATATTGTTAATCTTAATTCAATTTTTGCTCATCAAGAAACTTTAAAATACCTACTATTTTATTTGTCATTTGATTTTAAATTCTACCCGGTTTTAAATAAGGTTAGCGTTCATTAAAATTTAAAACTATCAAGTGTTCTTAAACGGCTTATGAACAGTAGTGGAGTTAAATTTAATTATTGGTCTTATTAAAACCGTTGCAAGCACTAATATAAATGTTTATATGATAAAAAATAAGATTTTGATTGAGGGCTAGCAATAAATATAACAATAGGTTTGCTTGTGTGTCAATAGAATTTTAAATGGAACAAAACTAAATCGTAGCTGGCAACCCTGTGACAAAACCATATTTGTTTAATTACCTTTGTTTGCTAGTAATTATAATAAACGATGAACCATTGATTTGCTTAAATACGAATACCATCCTCAAATGTTGAATTCATCAGTAACTTCCTTAAGAATTATATCAATAAAAATAATTCAATATTTTGTTTCAAAAATGAATTTCATTCAATGTCTTGGTCTGATATTTTTCAATATTTTTATTTCTATTTCACAAGCACGAAATCCAATTGATTTCATTAAAAGTTTCATTGAAAACGAGAAAAAGGCGACAATAGTAATTCTTAATAATATTTGTTGGAATAAAAGTGAGTATATTTAAAAGGTCACACTTATGATGCGTTTATTTTAAATGTAAATGTTGTCAAGATTTTTAAACTTCATTATTTCAGCGGAGACATTGAAATTGATAAAGGCTTTGTCGTTTAGTAACGTTCGGGTGTCGTCTAAGACTTGTAACAAAAGTAATCTTCAGGATCACATGCTCTTATTTTTAATTGATTTAGATTGTCCGGGTGCTGAAGAATCGCTTAAGGTACAAAAGATCTCATTAATGTCGGTACCCTTTAGACCTGAAGCTTAGGAGTTTCGAAGGCTTCTCATCCATCGAGCTTTAATATTATAATTCTAGAACCTGCAATTATAATTGAGCACTTGCCCATTTTTTTCTAGAATTTTGACTCAATATGAAACTAATATTTTTTGGATATACTACGCGTGCTTTATTTTTGTAAAAAAACTACACACTCCCGACGTTTCGGTTACTTTTCATCAACCGCGATTGAATACTCGCGAAAGTCTTAAATCTCATTAGGCTTCGATATGTTTATTTTAGACTTTCGTAATGAAGTATGTTTTGGTTTATGAGTTAAATCTCTTTTTAAATCAAATAAATATCATCCTCATCAAACGCTATTATTTAAAAAAATGACAATTGCATTAAAGTTGTACGCTATATTATACTTAACAGTCAGTAGTGGCCTAGTGGTTAAAAGGCCCGCCTCTCATTCATGAGGGCGCGGGTTCGATCCTGGCAAGTACCAATGTGATTTTTCCGAGTAATATATACTTTCTAAAAGTATTTAGACATTACTGATTAATGCATTCCCTAAGAGGGTTGATGTCAGGCAGGGTTGCCGGTCGTAAAGACAATTAGTCAAAACTATTCGCAACATGTGAGGCAGACCCTGGCTTAAGAAATTGCCAGGAAGAAGAAGAAGAAGAAGCTATATTATACTTAACCTTTAAATTATTGAACAAAATATTGTTATGTAGCAAGATTCCTAAAAATTAATCCAGTTTTTTTAAGTGGCAGAAAAATATGGATTAATTTAATTTCCTAATAATAAAATGTTTAATGTATTTAGTAAGATATTTTATGTCACCGATTTCAGCTCAATAACAAATTTATATAGTTTGCTTTAACAATAATAAATATAATAATAATCATATTAACTGAGTGATTTTATGACAGTTGTCTCCTTATCTGCGGTATCCTTTCCGATGGCTAGCACTCACTAAGAGATCTGTTAGTGATTTAAAACATATTTGGGAACTTCCACTGTTTATTGATAGCGATTTTGTGCTAGCAAGACAAATGGGAGATCATTACATTCTCACAGAAAGTAAGTATTAATATATGGATTCTACCATGGTTACCTCTTTATTAAATTATATTGGTTAAATATAGTGTATAAACCCTCGACAATTGGACCTATGCACTCAACCGCTCGAGGTTTTTATAATGGAAGTCTAATTGATACAAGGGAAAGTAGAGAAATCTTTAGACGTCGGAAAGACGTTATGGGACATCCCTTAACTATATCCAACGTCATACAAGATAGCAACACTTCGCAATATCACATTATAAAAGAGAACAGATTGTAAGTAGCAAGGAATCCTTTGTAAATATACCTATATAAAAACACATGGAAGAATTTTCTGTAACTTGCTTCTGTTGCTCGATCGGTGCTAGCCAATACTTATTCGCTCTTAATCTTGTCCAAAACAGATACTGTTGGGCCATAATTAAAAAATGGGTGAACAAAATATTCCTTTTCTGGCAGGGAACTTCGTTACGATGTTATATCAAAACTGTCCTATGTACACGTACAAATAGCCTTCCAAATGCTAAACGCTACGCCGAGACATGTTTTCAGTCATCGATGGGGTTACAAAAAAAACGGACAATGGTCAGGAATGATTAATGATTTAAATACAGGGAGAGCTGACCTAGGTAACATATTAAGTAAAAACAATATATCTTTGCAATACTCTGTGAGGATTTCAATTACTTTACTATTATATTTTAGGCACAAACTGCGTTCCCAATGCTGAACGTCTTAGCGTCGTTGTCTTTACGGACTCCATCGCCAAGTTTGAAGTTAAATTCATCTTTCGCCAACCGCCGCTCTCCTACGTGTCCAACATCTTTACTTTGCCATTTTCAAAAAGCGTTTGGATCGCCATAGCTGTGTCATTCGCTATATCTACTATAACTATATACATCGCAACTAAATGGGAGGTCAGGACGTTTAAAACGGTAATTATTATTGATAATATGATGGTGAGACTATTGATCCAATATATGATGGTAAAGAAGGTTGGTCTTCGTGCATCAGTTCCAAATTGTTTAATGGTAATATTGATATGAATGATAATAATACATACGGAGTGTGGACAGTTTTTCCTCATAAGGTTTCGCACATTAAAGTATTAAGTAGTATTATTAACTAAGGTTATGAAGTGATGGACCAAAATCACTTCGTATCTAGTGTAAGGAAGCAAATTTGAGGTAATCCTATTGATAGGTAACTTCCTAGAGTTAGACAGACCACCCTTACATATCACGCAATTTAAAAAAACGTAACGTAATGGCTAAGAGAGATATATTAAGCAGTAGATCATTCAAATATTGACAGTGTTGTATATTTGGAAGATTTTATTTCTTTAAAATTTAAGGCAATTTTAATTAAGAAATAAGTGTTTATTTAATTAATATCCCAATTACCTCCAAGGATCCGACCCAACTTGATGGCAGCGTTTTTGACGCTATGCTCATAACGATGAGTGCGCTCAGCCAACAAGGATGTTCCAAAGAACCAAAAAAGTTTTCAGGTACTTTAATCACTTATTTTTTTAATATCAAACGAGGAAGATATTTTTCTTTCAAGTACAGCCTCCCACGCAGGTCGTGTCATGTCCTTTGTTATCTTCTCTGCATTAATGGCGGTGTATACGGCTTACTCCGCAAATATAATGGTCCTGCTTCAAGCACCATCTAGCGCTATAACTAATCTGGAACAGCTTGCCAATTCCGATATGAAGATTGCGGCTCACGACGTGGACTATAATCATTTTGTTCTTAAGGTACTTTGGCTCTAGAGCAATTAATTGTGCTTGAAACCGAAGATTTACCTCTCCTATGAATTTCAGGCACAAAAAGATCCAATAAGGAAAGCAATATATAGGAAAATTAGTCCGGAAAAAGGCAAAAAGAATTTTTATGATTTCAATGAAGGAGTTGAACTCTTACGTCAGGTATGTTTAATTCGTTAAAAATTGAGATATAAATGTTTATTTGGTTCATAACAAAAAATATATAAATGGCATCTATACAGGGCTTATTTGCATTTCACGCAATTTTGGAATTGGTGTACTTACGCGTGGAGGAAACATTCTTGGAGAATGAGAAATGTGATTTGATGCAATTGGATTTTATCAACTCACACGACCCCTTTGTACCAATTTACAAACATTCCCCGTACTTGGAGCTGCTGAGAGTTGTGTGAGTTTTCAAGAACACTATAAATCATCATTTTTCGCGAGTGCCTTTTATTTGTTCTTAATAATTTTATTAACATTATTGCTATAAGAATAAAATGGGCGCTTTCAAAGTTATTGAAGATTTTTATGTCACGAACCATTATAAATCTTATGAGTTATGGGCATTGGCAAAAATACCATACATTATACTTTTTACTAGTTACATCATGTTCCTTCAGGTTCAAACGTATCCGTGAATCAGGGATTCAGATGGCGAACCACAGGAGGTTTCTTGTCCCAAAGCCACGATGTACCGAGAAGATGTCCACCTTCAGCAGTGTCGGTTTAGTTCACATGAAGCCGGTGCTGCTGTTCATAATATACGGATTCTGTGCGGCATTCCTCATAATGTTGGCTGAGATTTTCGTATATAAGATAAAAATGTGCAAAAGGAAGGAGTTTAACGACTTTTCGAAGAGGAATAGGCTCTCAAAAGATTTGACTATAAAGTTTCGTAATTAATAACTGTAGATTCCATTGTTGATTATGATCTCTAGTTAATCTATTTTTTTCTTTCAAAACAACTACATAACAAGAATAATTAGACCTTCTATTTCATAAAATATCATTAAATACATATACTTTGTGAGTCTGTTACATTAAAAATTTTGATCTTGTAAAATGTTGTTACAATTATTTAGCTTACTTTATAATTAATAAAAGTAGCAGATATTATATGTATGTGTTTTACTTCTATGAGACCCTCACCAGGTCTAAAATGGCCAAGCTACATAGAAACACTTAAGAGTTTCCAAGATATATATCCTGGGGAAATCAGATGATGACGTCGTTACATCGCTCCTAAAAGACGAAGATGACCCAGAGCTAGAGTCACGACTTCAATTCCATAATATGATAGGAGCATAGAGTAACAGAGTAGGGTTAGAATCAAGTAAGAAGATCCAAGATACAGATATATTAGTCTTCAATTCGGCAAGACGAGAATGATAAATATAAGATACATGCAATGAGTTTAGAGATGTAGAACGAGTGGTTAGACATAGGAGATTTTTACATCCCATTATCACTAAAATGGCGCACCTAAATTCATGATTGGTCGCCAGAATTGCAAAAATTCTATCTCAATGAGTTCCAGATGACTCTCCCAGATCAGAGTAATTTAGTAAGATGGGGTAAAGGTACCGGAAAAACTTACGATATCTGTGGCAAGGTAATTGGAGCTAAGCATTTGCTGGTGAAATGTAGGGTACTCCTGGATTTAATACTAAAAGATTTCGTCTATTACTAATCATAAACAAGAAATCCAAACAATTCTAGAAGGGATGTTCATTATGTAATGAGCACTCTACGTTTGTATTCTAGGGACAGTTCAATTTAAATTGGTCTCTTTTGTTGGTATGAAATAAAAACAATATATTAATAGTAATGGTGCCTTAGAACCTTTTTATTAATAAGCAATTTAAATACAAAACTGAACATTGAAAATTTATAACTTATTCAAACAGATTTCTGTGGACTTTTCTTACGTAGTTTTTTAGTTTCTTTAGGTCTTAACGTGGTAGCTTTTCTCGGAGCCTCGGCTTTTCTCTGCCTAGAGCTGCGTTTCAAGGCGCGTATGGTGGGTGAAGTATTTATTTTAGGCAGTTCGTATGGTTCCTTAGAGTGCTTCATGCTAAACTTTGGGGATTGATAGTTCTTTCTTGTAGCCCTTGAAGGCGAGGGTTGCATCGAACTTTTACGTTTCATACCTGTTCCGTGTATGTTGTCTTCAGCTGGTGTCGGAGTCTTCGATGGCAGTTTCTGGACGTCATTTATCTTTTTTTCCGGGTTAGTATTAGAAAGATTTGCAATCATAACTCGGAGTTCAGATAATGTGTGACCATGAAAAGTCACATCGTCTTGAAGCTGATCCAGCTTTTTCTCAAATTGCTTAAACGATAATATGATACGTTGCAACGTATCAATAGGACGAGTCCTAACAAGTGACATTATTTGGGAAACTTAAAATTTTGAAACTTTATAACTTTTATATAAAATATTTTATTTCATTTTATTTGATCAACTTAAATTTGTTTGTCCGAAAACAAAAATCAGTTGACTTTAATGACAATCTCGTCAATAGGTAATTAATCAATCACAATATTTTTAATATAAAAAATAAAACTAAAATCATTAAAAACTCTATATATATATTAAAATATAATGAAAAATAGATTTATAGCATGAGAAGTTCCAAATTCATTATATTATTAACATATTCTTAATTATATTAAAATGTTTTTAAAGTTATTTTATGTATTTAATGAAATTTATAATCTTGAATGATGTCAAACATTTTCATGAATGGTACTAACATGACAGCTGTCAGCTGTCACCTGTCAAGTAATCTAATATTCGTAAACCCGACACGATGGGAGACACGGCAGTGGAAGAAGTTAAGAATCTAAATATTAACGAAAAGGCAGGATTTTAAACTATATATTTGATTCGAATTATAATCATAATCACGTTTGTAATGTTAAACCGGTTAAATATACGTAGAATCTGCGTGGTGCGGTTCAAAAAGGACTACGCCACATGGGTTCGTAGGTTTTCCTGAGAAATGCCAACTCGGAATGATTCATGTTTCGAAAGTGTGATTATAATACCAGACTAACTGTAACCTAATAGATAATCTCGCAATAACTGTTCATAATCAATAGATTTAATTAACTGTGTCATTTAGTTATTATTCTAACCTTTCGAATTATGCCATCTCAGCATAAAAAAAATTAGTGTAATTACAAAAGTGGTTGGCTAGTTTTCGTTTATTTTTTATTACAGTCTACGAGAAACAGTAAATATATGAACAATACTTGTTTACAGTCAAAATCGAAAGCAATGAAAGAGAAAAAGAAGACAGAATCATCTTCTGGTGTATCTGAACTGCAACCCTGGCCGGAGTTCATTCAGAAGCGGATAGAGTTATGGGATAAGTACAAAGCACAGTACGCAGAAGCCCTAGCTTCCAAACCTGATGTGAGTGTCGTTGTAACACTCCCCGATGGAAAAACCGTTGAAGCAAAAGCATGGCAAACAACCCCATACGATGTAGCCAAAGGCATCAGGTAAGACAACATTTAATATATATAAAACGCTTTTTATAGCTTGTAAATCGTTATTTATTAATTCTTCACATTAATTCACATAATTTCAGTTTTTCCTTATGTTATTTGTATTATTTAGTACCGAGCACTGTAGATTTTCAAATTTCAACCGAGCACTTTGTTTATTATATAAATATATAACAATTGGGTTAGTGTAATTATTGCATCATGCTATGTGGATGTATGGAATTCTATTTAAACATACAATCAGCTTTATCAACAAAAAAGAACACAAATCACTTAGATTATTATTGGTTTTTCTATATGTATATATATTTTTTTGGCATGTGTTTTGTTTGTAATAGCACTAGTAACTGGGTCATTATAATATTCTTTAACAATCTTGACCGTTTGTATAGTAAATGCTTAAATGGCTATAATTCATTGTAAATTGGCAATATTCAATAAAATCACACCTTATTTATTTGCTAACAAGCGAGTTTTGGAGTGAATAGTAAGTATACAAATTAAACATAAAAATATATATATTATATACAAATTATGTGTATATGTATGGTAAAGAAAAGGTTTTTTATGTTGATAGAACTTTTTAAGAAACTATGTTATGATTCAAATGTATGCAAAACATCAAATTAGAATCTTGCCACAAATCTTAACTTTCACCAAAAATCTTGTATAAATAATCAAATATTATAATTAGGCCTACATTTTAAATCAGAATAGTATACTCACTCAAGTCACAGTTTTCTAAGTTTTTCTTAAGTAAGAACATAATTTTTGTACAGGATAAGTAAATTAACATCAATACATATACTGTTAAATATTTTAAAATTTCATGGAAATTAGCTATAAAAATTATAATTTTACATTCATATTAAAATACATTAAAAAATATTCAAAAATAACAATTATACATATAATTCATTTCAGTTTCATTTTCACTTGAGTTTGTTATATAATACTTCTCAAATATTTCATGGTTCTACAGAATTCTATAATAAAATAGTAAAACTGTTCCCCAAGTACTTGAACAACGAACACTGTTATAAAGTTCAAATCAATGATGTAGTTAATAACTATAATGTAACGGACAAACAAACTTATATATTATTCACACACACACACACACACACACACACACATATATATATATAAATATACACACATATAATAAATATGAAGCATAATGAACACTTCAAGAATATTTACAGCCAGGGTCTAGCTGATTCTACGATCATAGCCAGAGTTAACGGTGTGCTATGGGACCTCGATCGGCCGTTGGAAGGAGACTGCAAGCTTGAGTTACTGAGATGGGACAACACAGACGCACAGGCAGTGTTCTGGCATTCATCGGCACACATGCTCGGAGAAGCTATGGAGAGGGTGAGATAGTATATAATTCAGTTATAATATAATTAATTACAATTAAAGTAATATCATTCATTATTATTATTAATTGTTGAATAAATTGTTGTTTTCAGTATTGAAACTAAAGAATATAATATATTTGTATTATAAGTATAATTAATAAACTTATATATAGATATTGCTTTGATATACATATATATTTTAGGAGTATTTTTGATTCTATCTACTAACTTAGCTAAATCAGTGTAACAGTGAAATATCTTTCAATAAAAGTTTATAATAAAGCGTATATATATTATTTATTATATTTATTGATATTGTATATGTTGTTTGTAATTCAGGATTTTATTTAAGGTATATGGTGGTTGTCTGTGCTATGGTCCACCCATCGAGGAAGGTTTCTACTATGACATGTACTATCCAGAGAAAGGGGTAAGTGTGGAATTTTTATATATGTTAAATGCTATATGTATACTAATATAGATAATATATTGAAAGTATGTAAATTTATATGATAATTAATTGATTGTGTTGGAGTCTCTATTAGCTGAATGTTCAAATGTATAGCCTTTCCACTTATAAAATTTAGCCAAATGACTTAGTGATTTTTTTACTTGAGTGTAAGTTATCCTAAAAGTCATTATTATAATCATATTGTTATTTTTACAAAGAACTTGAGTTATTTTATCTAAAAATATTCGTAAAAATAACGAAGTTCCTATATAAATATCAATTCTTGTATAAACAGTTATTTAATCTAAAAATAATACGGTACGGACTTTAAATAAAACACCCACAATTTGTTTGATTTTGAGCATGAAAAGGTTTCATGTATAAAAATTAGGTCAATAATATGTTTAAATTCAAATTAGGTTGATTTTATATTGACCATAAAAAAATAACAACATTATCTACTGATATGGAAAAAAAATTAGTATGCTTCCTGTCAAATGATGTCAAATAATTACATACCAAGCAAGGTCAAGACCCTAATTGTTAAGAGTAATTAATCGAGCCGATAAAGACGGACGCGTCTTTGGAAGACGTGATTTTGTATGTTTGGCTCCTTAAATTGACATAAGGCGTGATTCACATTACACTAGCTGATTGACATACCTTTACAATTCAGATAAAATTATAAATGACAAATATTTACAAAGATTACAAGATTTAAACAATCATATCTTGTGTTTTATATGTATTCATAAATTTAAAACCATATGGTCTATTCGTAATATGAAATTTTAGACTATTTAGCCTAATTATTATTGTTTAACCTGATGGTAATAATGATATGGCTATTATGCTTACTATTCAAATAAAAAAATAGCTTTTTTGTTAACATTTATATACAAAGTATACCAATATGTCAAATATCGGACACGTGTTATGCAATTAACACATTACATGTTGTCCGTGCATTTCCTCGGGCTTTATCTTATCTCGAAGCGACTTGAACCTCGGGTCAATTTTTTTATTATTTTCATAACACGTAATGTTCTACTACGCCTTTGAATGACACGTAAAATTTTACTATCATTAATATATATTTTTAAACTACTATTACGTGTTCATTGATTCAATTTCTAATATAGCCGAATGACTAAACATTTAGCCGTAGAAATTATAACTACTATTATAATAATATAAATATCCAATAACAATAATTCGATATACATATAATACTAAGTATATCAAATATATTTACATATTTATTAAATAATTTTATTAATCGCCATTAATTTAACAAATCGGCTAAGCGATTTAATTAAGTGGATGTTTAAGCTATTTGGCTGCTATTCAAGCTTAGCTAAGTTTCTATCTAGCCACATGATTAATGAAAACCATTTTATATATTCAACTATTTATGTAATCAGATATCGTCAACGGACTTCGGCGTCATAGATGCTCTTGTCAAGAAGATAGCAAAAGAGAAGCAGCCGTTCGAACGTCTAGAGCTGACAAAGGAACAGCTGCTGGAAATGTTCGAGTACAACCCGTTCAAAGTGAGGATCCTTAAGGAGAAGGTGGACACGCCCACCACCACCGTGTACAGATGCGGGCCTCTCATAGACCTTTGTCGAGGCCCGCACGTGAGACATACTGGGAAGGTCAAGGCCTTTAAAGTTACCAAGGTAAGTCACTAGTACATCTGATACACGTATAGATACATATATACATCTGATATATTCCAAGACTTCCGGGATATAAAGTAGCCTATGTACTATTCCTGGACGTCAGCTTCCTGTATACAAAATTTTAACAAAATCGTTTCAGCCGTTTGATCGTGAAGAAGTATCAAACATACACGCATAAACACAAACTTTCGCAATAATATTAGTAGGATAAGACGTTATGATTTTCACTTGTTTACATATTTTGGTTTTTTTTAATGTACATACTAAAAACTTATTAGATTTTGCACAATAGTAGACAATAGATACAAATGTTAAACTATTAGCTGTCAGCTATCTCGATTATAACTTATTATGAAAGATGAAAATGAAATCTGATTTAAACACTATCACACCAACCCGCGCTACGAAAAGCAAGTCCTGATATCCTCTGACAACTTTGTGTAATGAGATGTAAGATTGTCGAGAGTGTTCATTTAAATGAAACTAATAGTTTCGGATCACCACGCATATTTTATTATTTTAAAAACTACATACTTCCGACGTTTCGGTCACTTTGCAGCACTTTGATCTCGTCTGCCCAAGAAAATATTACTTTCAATATTATTTTTCGCCCCTCTCCTACTCTCTCATATTCCTACAATATCTCCTTCTCTACCTGCCAATTTACCAGCTATAGCCAGAGTCTGCCTTACATAATTTTGAATAGTTTTAGCTATTTGTTTTTGAATCAGCATTAATCAGTGATGTCTATTTAGTCTTAGAAAGTACATATGACTCGGAAAAATCCCATTGGTACTTGCCCGGGCCAAGATCGAACCCGCGCCCTCATGCATGAGAGGCGGGCCTTTTAACCACTAGGCCACCAATGACTAATATCCCTACTAAAATTATAAATGCGAAAGTAACTCTGTCTATCTGTTACGCTTTCACGCTTAAACCATTGAACTAATTTTAATTCAATTTGGTACAGAGATAGAGAGGACCTTGAGAAAGAACATAGCATAGTTTTTATCCCAAACTTTTGAAAGGTTCTCTTGGAAACGCGATATAACCGAACTCCACGCGGGCGAAGCTGCGGGCGGAAAGCTAGTATACATATATATCTATTTCAGAATTCGTCCACATACTGGGAGGGCAAGTCTGATGCTGAAACCCTCCAGCGGGTGTACGGTGTGTCGTTCCCTGAACCAAAGCAGCTCAAGGAATGGGAACACATGCAGGAAGAAGCTGCCAAGAGGGATCATAGGAAGATTGGCAGGGTCTGTATAATATATACACTAGGGATTGTATAATATGTATAGTCGGGGATAATGCACATCCGCGTAACTATCATTGGATAATTCCGCGTATCTACTTTGGAAGCAGATTATCAGAAGAAAGTTTAAGCTGAAATATTTTATATTATGTAACGACTTTTCAGGTAATTTTTTCACAATTAGTAATAAATTAAACAATAAATAGTTACTATTGCTTAATTTTTACAGTTATAATGTGTCATCTTGAACAGAGTGAGTTCAATATTTAGTAATAATTTCATTTAATGATGGTTTTGACTCAGAATGTAAATATTATTTTGTTTACTGAGACTTGAACCTTACTCAATGAATATGGCTTCATCTGATTCTGATTAAGCTATGTATAAATAAATAACAAATAAATTTCAAATTTTAGAAAAGTTCTTTAGTATTTTTATTATCAATATGAAATTTATATTATCAATATGAAGATATGATAGTTGAGTTGTTAGAGGAACGGTAACATAAGTACCAAGTTCAGGCCTTGCGTACATTGTCTATACTAATATATACCTTATCTTAACAGGAACAAGAGTTATATTTCTTCCACGAGCTGTCTCCCGGGTCATGTTTCTTCCAGCCGAGGGGAGCTCACATATATAACACATTGGTCAACTTCATCAGGGAACAATACAGGTGAAATATTCTAAGCTATATATATAACTACTATACTTCTATACTATACTAATAATACTATACAATACTCTACTAAATGAAAATAAAATGTTTGGATTTACTACGCTTTTATAATTAACTAGCTTTCCGCCCGCAGCTTCGCCCGCGTGGAGTTCGGTTATATCGCGTTTCCAAGAGAATCTTTCAAAAGTCTGGGATAAAAACTATCCTATGTTCTTTCTCAAAGTCAACTCCATGTCTGAAATAAATTTTATTAAAATCAGTTCAGTGGTTTAGGCGTGTAAGCGTAACAGACAGACAGACAGAGTTACTTTCGCATTTACAATATCAGTAGGGATTTTAATTACATAATTGTGACGTTTCGGTTACTTTGAAACAATCATGCCGGTAGTAAATCCGATATATACAGGGTGACTGGTGAATTACTATCGATATTTGAGGACGTGGTAGTTGACGATCATATATGACAAAATAAAAATTAATATATGTAACATAAATATTAATAAACTTCTAAGTAAAGTTAACCAAAAGTTATGTAATTAATTACGCATCGTGTGAACACCCTACAGATTAGGTATACACACACACTCACACATACGCAGCGGGGGCGTGGTTTTGTATCAGCACGCCGCCGTACGCGTCCACACTAGGAACACTTGGAACGTGTCAACACTTTATTTATTTATACGGAAATTTTGTCAAAAATTAAGTACCTATTTTTTTTACATAATTCGAATGAGAATCATGTACCGAGTATGCTCCTTAAATATTGATAGTAATTCACCAGTCACCCTGTATAAGTTTTATCTCAATGAATACTCGTCATAATCTGGGATCTAATTATATGTGTATTTCCAGGAAACGTGGTTTCCAAGAAGTGGTCACTCCTAATATGTACAACGCCAAGTTGTGGCAAACCTCGGGCCACTGGGCGCATTACGCTGAGAATATGTTCTCCTTTGACGTGGAAAAAGAAACCTTCGCTCTCAAACCTATGAACTGTCCCGGACACTGGTAATTATATAACACATCCCATAATATAATTACTATAATAATATAAATGGCTTGATATCAATACACCCTATTAAAAGACTTGGGCCTGTCCAGAACTAACATCAATTCATTTATAGAATGCACTTTGAATTCAGCCCTAGTAGGTACTTTTAAAATGTGTTTAGTAGAGAGAGGAGCTTGGACAATGGAGGTGGGTCCTACACCTGGGTCGCAAGTCCCATACACTGTTGAAGCTCCTCTCCCTACAATGTACCCGGAATACTCATAGTGAATCCATAGAATGCTAATAAGTTTAATCTAATCTAAAGGTTGCCTGGAAGAGATCGCTGCTTAGCAATAAGGCCGCCTGTTGCACTAATATGTAACGAAAATGTTATTTTTTTAGTTTTAGAATTGGGTGCAATAATGAATAAATCTATCTATCTATCTAAGTTGCCTGGAAGAGATCGCTGTTTTAGCGATAAGGCCGCCTATTGTACATTTTTCTTTTCTTTGTTTACTCCTATTATTTTTGTCTATATTGGTGTGCAATAAAGAGTATATAAATAAATAATTTCAGCCTTATGTTCGACAACCGTGTTCGTTCCTGGCGCGAACTTCCTCTCCGCCTGGCTGACTTCGGCGTGTTACACAGAAACGAGCTGAGCGGCGCGCTCACCGGACTTACGCGGGTCAGGCGCTTCCAACAAGACGACGCGCATATATTCTGTACACCGCAGAACATAGAGCAGGAGATGGTGGGTACAAACATATGCGCACGCGCATAGATACATACATTTTACATACTATACAAATGGTGCTCCAAAAATAAAAAAATATTCGATATATGCTTAAGCTTACATTTTTAATTCCCTGTTGATGGTTCAAAATTCAGACAGTAAATATTTAATTAATATAATTTATAATTTAATTAATATGTATAATATAACTAGAAGACCCGGCGAACTTCGTTTCGCCCTATAATCAAGAAATATCTGTTACGTTTTTTTATTTATATTTTTGGAGTTTACCTATTAAAGCCATAAATCTCCGTGTTTTGAAGTGATTAGGAATGATTAATAGTTAATATGAGAGTTACACTGAGCTAGCAAAATAATAATTGTCAACGTTACTACTACACTTGATGCACAAACAATAACGATGGCCGACAACTGTGTAGGGAGTGAGAGAAGTCTAATTGTGTGAGAGAAACAGAAGACCGGCTTCGTTCTCATCCCTACTCCGTGCTGTTTACTGGGTCAGAAGTGACACCTGTAGATATCTGGCGGGGATAACTTATTAAATGACGATTGATCAGTTATCGACCGGAGATGAAAAATGATTAAATTACTAAAATAGCTATTAAAAAATAAGGGTTGATCGTAGAAGGGTGAAAATTTAGGATTGTATGTATTTTTGTACGTTGTATCATAAAAAAATAGTAATTAAAAATTTTGTCTAAAAAATAAAAAAAAAAATTTAGGGGTGGACTACCCCTAACATTTAGGGGGATGAAAAATAGATGTTGGCCGATTCTCATAGCTACCGAATAAGCACAAAAAATTTCATCAAAATCGGTCAGGTTGTTTCGGAGGAGTATGGGCACGAAAACTGTGACACGAGAATTTTATATATTAGATAAATTATGTGTCTTCTTTTCGAGCCTTTCCCTTCATGTATATTGCATAATATGTAAACTAAATACTACATATGCACAACACCGGCTTTTCTTCATACATTTGATTATCCGAATGCCTATCGACAACAATTAGTCCAGTTAATCGAGTTTCTACTGTATACATTAAACAGCCATAATTGTAATATAAATTATTATTCCAGATCGGTTGCCTAGAATTCCTGGAGCAGGTATACTCTACGTTTGGCTTCACGTTTCAACTGAAGCTGTCCACGCGCCCTGAGAAATACCTCGGAGATTTGGCGACGTGGAATCAAGCTGAGAAGGTTATTATCATATTATATACATAATAATTATACCTAGATTGCTAAAATTATGATATTATTAATGAATAGGTTCATATGTTCGTCTCTCTCACAAAAAAGCTACTAAACTTAATTTTAACCGTATATAATAATCTTCTCAGTACTGTTAAAATTATGATGTCTTTTGCATAAAAAAGTTAGTAAACGGATTTTGATAGAACTTTACAAATATGTGTCATTATATTCTACGAATTCCATTTTTGTTATAGCAAAATCACAGATAAACAGTTGTATTTTACATCAAATCTTGTAACAGTAATAGATTTTATACAACAAAACTTAATAAATATATTATTTCCAGGCCCTAGAAGACTCTCTGAACAGATTCGGCAAGTCCTGGCAGCTGAACCCGGGTGACGGCGCGTTCTACGGACCCAAGATAGATATCACTATACAGGATGCTCTAAGACGATCACATCAATGTGCGACCATACAACTAGACTTCCAACTACCGGAGAGATTCAACCTGAGTTATATAAGGTGATATATAACTTTATATGAACATTTATATTAATTATAGTCATATGGAGATGAATAACTAAATTATGTGGAATGAAAAACTATGATTACATAACGGTACACATTTGGTTTGGAGTAATGAAATAAAAATGTATACAATTTCTAAAAGTCAAGTCATAATCGTTTTAATCTCATATAGATATATATAATTATATTAATCAACTATAAAATATTGTATATATTTAAGATTAGACAAATTCATGAAAAATATAGTTGTCTTATAAACCAACTACTGAACCTGCTGAACCAACTTTAAAAAACAAATTATACCTTAATTGCAACAAACTTCTGTCTTGAATAGTATTAAGCAATAATTACCTTAAACTAAAAGAACTTAAATTCAATTTACAATTTTTAAATCGCATAAACAAAACTGACAAAACCAAACATCACTTTGGGTCCGTTCATAAATTGAAAAGTTCCATTCAAATTAAATGGGAATTCTCTCAATATATTCTTATTCCAGTGAGACGGGGGAGAAGAAGCGTCCGGTAATTATTCACCGCGCGGTGCTCGGCTCAGTGGAGCGTATGATGGCTATCCTGAGTGAGTCTTACGCCGGCAAGTGGCCGTTCTGGCTCAGCCCGAGACAAACGTGCGTGGTGCCCGTCGGTCCCAGCTACGACGAATACGCTACATATGTTAGTATTAATAACATATAAGACTATTCATTTAAACAAGTACAAGCGAAAATCTTGCATAATAGGGTTTTGTATTATACTGAAAAGAAGTAATTTTTTATGATCATTTTCATATCTTTAGTGTATAATTTATATTAAGAACTGGCTTTCCACCCGCAACTTCGGCCGCGTGGAGTTCGGTTATATCGCGTTTTCAAGAGAACCTTTCAATGGTCTAAGAAAAAAATTATCCTATGTTTTTCTCAAGGTCAACTCTATCTCTGTACCAAATTTCATTAAAATCAGTTCAGTGGTTTAAGCGTGAAAGCGTAACAGACAGACAGAGTCACTTTCGCATTTATAGTATTAGTAGGGATGTAAAAGTTAGATACTAACTAACAAATAAAATATTGTTTTTAAAAGTGATATATAAAAAAATTACATTAAATAGTCCAATATAAATTAATTATGTAGCCGATTAAAGAAACTATCAATAAATTAACCATACAGATCCTACTCTAAGGACCATATATATCATCAATGATAATTAATTTAATTCTACCATAATTATTAATTTTATTTCATTAATGATAAATTAATTGTTATATGAAGGTGAATGAGAAGTTGTTTGCGGCTGGCTTCATGTCTGAAGTTGATACGGATGCCGGAGACACACTCAACAAGAAAGTTAGGAACGCACAGCTAGCACAGTTCAACTATATACTGGGTAAGAATAAATTATTAATATAGAGGAGCTTGGACAGTGGAGGTGAGCGTTTAACGTTAGATAGGCGTCTCTTAAACCTACAACTGGGTCACAAGTCCCAGTCACTGTTGAAGCTCCTCTCCTTACAACGATGGACCCGACACACGCCCCGTGAATACATGGAATGATGAGTGGTTTAGTCTCTGTATACCAGTGTTTATATCTTTGTGAACATGCTGTATATACTATATAGTATATTGTTCACTTAGTATTTATTAATTAATAATGTAAATCTAACTTTACTGGAAAATTATTCAATCTAATTGGAATATACTTATGAGTCCTTACCATTACCATTATAGTATATGTTAATTTTGAAACAACATATTTCTCATAGTGTTTGTGAAAAATATATTACATGTCCTAATGAAAACTTAAACCACATTATTGTAAATATCGCTCTGATAAATTATACTGTTAGGAAAAAGTTTGCTTGGAAAATAAATGTATGTTTTTTCAAAAACAATTTTTGGCTATTAAGTATGTAATAAAAGCTGACTGTATGAATATGTATAGTGATAGTAAAAAATATCCTATCGTTTTCTATACATTTTTTCTAGTTTAAAATGATTTAATATAATATATAATTGTTTTAGTTGTGGGTGAACGTGAGAAATCCTCAAACACAGTGAATGTCCGTACAAGGGACAACAAAGTCCACGGAGAGATGTCCATCGAGGGTCTGATAGAACACCTCAACAAGTTGGTCGCTGAGAAGACACTCTCTGAAGACAGCGAACTACTTAAATAGACTATCTTACTATTAACATACACTTACATATATTAATATAACATACAAACGTTTTTGATATGTTTGCATGTGACCATCTCAGAAACTATATCATCGGGGATAATGCACATCCGCGTAAACAGAACAGAAGATTATAATAAATTAAACACTAAATAATTACTAATCATGAAAAAACGACCTTAAAAGTAGCTAATATAGTAAATCTTCTACCTGGGAATTTCCCAGTTATAGCCAGAAAATATTTCAGGTTAAAGTTTCTTCTGATAATCTGCTTCCAATATGGATACGCGGAATTGTTCTATCCCCGACTGTATTCCGTTGTATTGTTAGGTACTTACACACATGCGGTACTTCTAATGCAATTGTCTTTTATATATGTTTGTGATCCTGATCTTAGATCTATTTGGTTATGGGGCCTTTTCAATGCATTGCTTTTCTATGTTAGCTAGAACATTAGTTTAGTACGGTTCACTCGTCATTTCAAATGTATTAATTTATTTCAAACTTTAGCTATTTATAATTTCATTAATTAGTTTTCACTCGCATCATCTAAGATGGTTTTGTTCATGTCTACCTGTTTAATTTATTAAAAGGTGTTTATAATTTTTTTTTCCTCATCTTAGTTTTAAATGGAGCGATGAAATTGCTTCCTTATTATAAGTGCGACTTCGGGTCCTTTGACTTTTAAATATATTGAGAATTAAATGGAAATTTGTTTGTCGTGTGATTTCGAGTAGATATAAGTCCATTCATTACTTTGTACCCACATATATTACTGCCTAATGATTTATTGATACAAATATTCCTTTTTTTTTAAAACATTGTCGAAATTAAGACATTTTAACTATCATTTAAAGATATTATCTGAAATAAATCTATTTTAATGATCCGTAAAAGAATTTTGATCATCAATGTGGGTACTGAAACATCATTAATTATAGATTGCATTTAAGTATTACTATTGAACTCATTTTATTTAATTTAATGTCGTTTTATTTAATTTTTATTTCCAAAACATTTTTTGTGATCAAAATTTGTGAGGAATTAAACAAATAAACGATTTACCATTACTTAGTTTTATTTTATTTGAACATTTAATGTGCATGAACATCGAAATTAACCTTTCGACTTATAAAATTGAACATTAAAGATACATAATGTTGGAAGTATATGAAGAAATTAAAAACAAAAAAAGATGGATACATTAACATGTTTATAGAACAAAATCATAAATAATATCAGGTTCAAAGCCTTATTAAATTAATAGGAACACAAAAATTATCTATTTCAATATATGTAGTACAAAATTTAAAGTTTGAAAAATCTTTGAATCAATCACATTACGTATTTTATCACACGGAAACATTACAACATAGCTTACATCTGATAATAAACACGATATAGAATTATCACAATACCATATGACTAGGAAGAAATATACATTAATATAGCAAAAATAAATAACTCTACTTGGTACTTGGTGCCTATACAATATTTTTATAAGATAAAATATATTATATATACATTTATGTAAATTGTATTCCATTTTACAAATGAATATATTATTTCCAGTAAGTAGACATCTTTTTAAGTTGTATTATGTGGCGCCCTCTATTGTGCCATTGCTGTGTTCGTTTTGCTCAAGTATTTGTTTTTTATTCGACATCACACATTTAAAGTTTCCGCATAAATGGAATATCTGAAATAAATAATACATATTTTCAATAAGAGTACTGTTATATGATTTTTTTTGTAAATAAGAGATTATTATTAAAAAAAATATATAAAACAAAGAAAAACATTAAAATTATTGCTGCTATACTAAAAAAATTCGCTTTCTTCTATTTACCTTATCTATATATTGGTTAGTAAAGAAAAAAATTACACTAAACTCAAATTCTCTTAAACATATTCTATATTTTGTTCTTTCATAAGTTATACAGGGTGACTGGTGAATTACTATCAATATTTAAGGAGAATACTCGGTACATGATTCTCATTCGAACTATGTAAAAAAAATAGGTACTTAATTTTTGACCAAATTTCCGTATAAATAAATAAAGTGTGGACTCGTTCCAAGTGTTAAAAGTGTGGACGCGTGTGGCGGCGTGCTGATACAACACCACGCCGCCGCGCGCGAGTGTGTGTGTGTGTATACCTAATCTGTAGGGTGTTCACACGATGCGTAATTAATTACATAACTTTTGGTTAACTTTACTTAGAAGTTTATTAATATTTATGTTATATTAATTTTTATTTTGTCATATATGATCGTCAAATATCACGTCCTCAAGTATTGATAGTAATTCACCAGTCACCCTGTATATGTAATTCTCATACATTTACTTACAGTATAAATCAATATGATGATGGCTATAATGAATCCCGCTAACACATCCCACCAGTGGTGACGGTGATCAGTCATCCGTGACACAGCACAGTACACAGATAGTAGAACACAGAGTGACTGTGTCACTAAGGTTTTTGTACATGATGACTTCCTTTGATATAGATAGTACTGAAAAAATATTAATATATGAAAAAAAACTTAAAACTTATATAGTGTTTGACTGTTTGTTTCATGAATATTACTTCATGTGAATTTAGATTTTTATCAGAGAGACCTTCAAAATAATAACACCATTCATTGCTGTTCGATTTTAATTGCTTTTGCTAATGTTCATAAATATACATTTTTATATCAATCTTACTCTTATATGTGTGTATATGGTAATTTTTTTGAAGACCATTAATATTGAAAAATACTTATATGTATTTTTTTTATATTAATTATATATTATAGAAAATTATTATTCTTAGTTTTTTATGCATCTAAAACTAATACATTCAAACTTGTATATATGTAGTTATGTATAAAGTAACATAAATTTAAGAATAAGATTTAAATGATAAATATTATCAAATTAAATATCTTTACTTTATCAAAATGATGAGAAAATTTTATATAAAGATATGTATGAGTCATTAAAGATTAATAGATAATAAGAATCTGATTTATTAAGTACTATGATTATTATAGTTTTATAATACTTACAGCAATAAAGAGACCGGAATGGAATGCCAATGAGGAATGTCCCGAGGGAAAACTGGTGTCTGATTGATTAATCCACGCAGGATTCGTACATTGATAGCTATATATGTACTGTGACCTGCAATTAGACATAATAATCACAAATAATTACAATAAAATACACTTCATAGTAACTATATGTAAGTTTTTATACTAATTAGTAAGATTTATAGTCTAGGCAAATGATAAATGTTACATTTTTTGCATCTAACTTTTTTATTGTGATACAAATTGATATCCATAGACTATTGTACTCTATTTATTTATATAATATATATATACTTACTCGGTGCATGTCTCAGCTTCTACGGGACGGCAAGTGTCAAAGAAATGAGGTCTCGGAGATCCAACGAGGAACTTAATGAATTGTACTAATGTTAGATTTAATAAGAAACCAAATAAATATTCTTTGTACCAACACAATGCTAGCTGTTTGGCTGATTCAGAACTCTCTTGCGTCTTTTCAACAATGAACATCTGAAAAAAATACAAATTTAAATGTATATATGTAATTTTTTACTAATACTACACACCAAGAGTACTTGTACAATAATATTTTAATATATTTAAATAAATTACACAAAATTGTCAGTTTCAAAACTAAAAATTACATATATTTATAAGTGGAAAAATACAATAGTTTTTAAGTATGCAAAAGTTCAAATTTTGCAGAAAGATGTCAATAATTTAAAAATGTATTATCGCAAATGTGTCCTTCAAGAATAATTTTTCCTTATATTTCCTCATAAATATATTTTTTCTTGTATTATTTGAGTTTTGAACCTCTATTTAGGATTATTACAAGCTTCAAATTTAACATACACTTCATGAACTGAATATAAACTGACTCAATGATAAATGAAAAATTATATGAAATAAATATATTTATTACACTAACCCAGTAAAACATTACTGCAAATATGTTGTGTATGGTCATAGAATTATTTAGAAATTCATACATCAAAGTATTGTGGAATAAAAGTAACAGATTTATGCTAAAATGATTTGTGTTTTATGAAAATCATCATGTAATGTATTTAAGGTGTTGGCAAGTAATTTATTGTAAACACCATATTATATTCTGTACTACAACATAAAGATATGTCCCATAAGTAAAACATGGAATTAAACTTTTTGAATTCATATATGTATATTATAAGTTATAAGTGGTACATAGGAAAAGTAGTAATTTACTTGTGACATTATACTAAACTTTGTTTCATGAAAAACTTATTGTAACCCGATACCATATATAAAATAATTTTCTAAAGATTTTATAATATAAATTGTTCAACAATAAATATTAAATATATCTTAAAACCATTGCACAATTAAATAATTTTAAAGCTTTATTATTATGATAATTCCTATTATTATTAGAAGCCAGAAGATAAATTATACTTGCATTGAATTTAATATCAGGTCTAGTGACAATAGCATCTATGATTTAACCTTCACAAAAAAGTATACTCAATTTTGTTAGTCAATTACTCAAAAAAAAAAACACAGCCTCAATTATCTTAATATATAAACTTAAGAGTAAGTTAAAGCATTGAATACATACCACAATTAAGGGTAAAGTAAGTGTTATAAGCATAAGCAGTTTCCAACTGACTGTATCTCCAGTAAATGTATGAGAGAGAGCCGGATCATTGCATTGAAAGCCATATTTACCGCCAGGGAATATCCTTAACTCAACTATGAGAAATATGAGGAAAACTGTAAAAGAAATGTTAGTCACTACACAAGTTACAGACATTTACCTACTATTACATAATAAAGTAAATATATTCAAGTGTTTTAAAAGCACTGATGATATTGAATTTGAAAGAGTCATTATAATATTATATTACAAGTATTTATTGTCTTAATTTCAACAATTACAATGGTCTGCTTGTTAATTATAATAAAGAAAAGTGACCTGCCTATAATAAAAAGGCTAATAAAACAGTGACAGCATTTCATTAAATATATTTTTAAGACATATCGTTTGTGCTTCCTTAACACGCAAATATAAAACATTAAATTAATATTTACGATACATAATATTTGACTACTACATTTTTTTTTCGCGACTTAACCGGCTATTTTTTTAAGCCTCGAGTTACTTCACTTCGTGAAATAACAATTATTATACAACAATAAATAATAAATGTTTACTAAACATTTTGCCTTAAATATTAATTATTATAACAAAAACTTACCTCGATGCCATCGATTCGTTTTACCCCAGATATATTTACATTTATTTAACATTTTTAACACTTCAATTTGGCTGTTCTCGTACAATACCAATTACGACCCGCACGACAGCTCAACAACTAATACACTAGCGAAATACATTAGCCCATGACTCAGTTGGTAAATAGCTTAATAAAACTGGTAATTATAGTTTCACGAGTTATATTTCTTTAAGTTAATGCTATCATTTTCTCAGTTTGTCATTTGACGTTATTAAGATTATTGCCACTTTTAAACCTTAACCAGGATATCATTTAAGAACTAATCATAAATAAATATTTACTTGTGCGTTTACGTAATTAAGTTATAATCATTATTTGTCAACAGACAACAGGTGCATCTAATTAATGACATTGACATTGTAACTATTTAAAATGCAGTCCTTAACGTTTCTAACAAAGACAAAAGGAAATAGGAATTTACATGTTTTAATTATTATGTTAAATACTTATCACGTTTTTATGTTAATTTTCTTATCTATCTTACTTCAATGTGCTTTTAACAATAAGGTAACAAGAAGTATAATAACAATAGGTATATATCATACGATTACTACCAAATTATTAAAAATATTATTATTATGGAGAATAAAAATTAACATTAATAAAATGTTTTTTTTATTTATATACTTAAACGAAGTAGTTTATTTTTTAATTATTACTGAGATTCACTGGTTATATTTGCTTTTGCAGTACAGAACAATACTAACTCAGAAATATACTATTTTTGGTCGTAATAATTATAAGGTTACGGATGATGCATCATGGGTCATCACGATGAAATCATGATTAAATAATTCTGGTGTAACCTCATGACATTTTTCCTACATATCGTTAGGACAAGAAAAAGTAATTGTATCAAATACAACTGACTAAATAACTGAAATAAATTAAAATACTAATGTTTATATAAAATCTTGGTAATATATTGTTTATTTAAGCTAGAAATTAATCTATTTATTCAAAGTAGTTTTAAACTTTTGGATAAATATATTATGTATCTCCTATTCCGTTTATTTTAATTAAATTGGATAATGATATTTAAAAAAAATATCCATTGCTTTCAATGCGAATAAATAAAAAAATACTTAGAACATTTTTAAGTAGCTGTTATTCCAACACTTACATGAACTGAAAGTATATATTTAATAGAAGAGGAATTCGCCTGAATATAGTTTTTAGCAAAATAGCAGAAATGAGATTGGCATTTAACTGCATAGGTCGTGAATGTCACGTGGTGTACATATGTCATATGTAACTTAATAATTTAAATTCTTTTCATGGTATGGGATACAAAATAGAAAAATCTGCTGACGCAAACAACGTGTCATTATTGTTACATTATCGCTTGATGTCCTATACGAAGCATTCTTTATAAAGAGAAGTTTAAGTTTTAACCGTCCATTAAAAGAATTGGACCAAAAATAAATATATAACTTTAAAAGAACACAACGGAAAAATGAGCGAACATATGAAAATTGGTAAATATTAATTAGTGTTTATTATAAAAAGAGACGAAACCTCTTAGCATTCGATGGATTCACCGTGCGGGTGCCGGGTCCATCGCGAATATATTATTAATTGTTTTCCGTAAAGATCATAAACAACTAAACAACTAAAACTCATTTATACGTCTAGTGTAATCACCCATTAGCTGGTTGGTGACGTTTTCGCAATGACTGACTATTTCTATAATAGATCCTTACTTAACCATTATTGAGACTACAAAGCATTTGCAACCGCCATTACAAAATACTTTACAAAACACCAGCAAAATGTCAGGTTGATCATTATTTATACTTAAAGTTATTTCGCTGCAATCTGATAAATAAGGGCATAAATCTCGAAAGGATTTCACACAACTAAAATTTATACTCTTACAGATTATATTCTCAATGTTCTAAAAATAAAACTATTGTTAAGTATAACAAGTTTTTTTATCTATATGGATAATAAATACAAAATAATAATTAGGTACATCTGACGTATATCCAAGTAGCTTTAATCTGTAATGTCACTCGTAAATTGTCATTAAATTAAATAGGTAATTTAAATTATGTTAATTTAAAAAACGATGTAGATGTGAAAAAATAATTGGAAGCTTCCATAACCCGCATAGAAGTTTGGGTGCTTTTGTTTTTATTGTCGCTGTTCACGAAATTCAAACATTGTGAGACCACACGCCGTCGTGTTGGTTGAGTATTAATTATCTACTAGCAGCCACGATATTATACAATTGTCATCACAGGATCTGTACGGGTTTATTCTTAATAAACCAAGAATCAGATTAACAGTTACAAGATTTTTATAATAGATAATATGCCTTTAAAATTGTGATACTAATGTTTATAGTATTATCAGTATCTTCCATTAATTTCAAAGAAAAAGAAAGAAAAGAATGATTTTACATACCGACTTATACTTCGAAAGTACACTTATTAGAACGTTTGACGAAATTATGACGTTTCGAAAAAATGTGCATATAATTTTAAAAGATTATTAATTGAAAAACACCGACATTGTTGTTTATTGTTTTATAAAACAATGTAAAAGTATGAAGTTCATAGTAATTCCTTATAAATGAACTCTGTGTGTGGTCAAGTTGTTCATTATCGTTTTAATTTACAACGGTGATAAAATTTTGGACGCGTATTAATGGAGATAACGTACAAGGATTATAAGAACACACAGACGATAAAAACTATATTGGAATTGTATTAATTGTTGCCACAGATTAGAAATTATCAGAGGCTTTGATTTGACAGCATTCTGCCAAATTGACATTGACATTATTTAATTATTTAATACATTCATAAATCCCTGTTTACGTAGTTCAGTAAATATAATATCGGCACATGAAAATGGCGAAATCTAACTAAAGAAGAAGAATAAGATTTAATACAAAACATTACATATTTATTATATATATTAGAAGTTGTTATATATTTGTCAAATGTCAAATATAAATCATTTGTTAATACAGATATTATTATGATCTAAGTACAATGTTATACATTAATTATTGTATAATAAAGAAGAATCAAATAAATAGTCAAACTACCTAAAACATAGAGTTGCTGTGAAATTTACACTGTTTTATTCCACAGAGTATCCAAATATATACGTATAAATGTACGTATATGAAATACCGCATTATCTTGCCCACTTTTAATATCAGACAAAGGCTGTTGAAAAACCAGTATCCCTAAATTAGAGCCTCGGGAACATGGGTTATGTATTATAAAAGCAAATACACGTACAGAGCTCACTTAACCATAGGATTGTAACTGGTTTCGGAGCTAAAGTGGAATTGAATAACAGACTTTTGTTTGTTTTGTCGTTTATTTGAGCATTTCTATATTGTGCACCTCTGGGATGAAAACTGAAGAGCTAGGCTTATAAAATTAAAAAAAAAAACATATGCTTGTTTCTAAAATATTTTGTGAATTGTATTTATTGTTAGTTAAAACGAATTATTATAGATGTATATTAAAATTTATTATTGACAAAAATGTAGTCAATTTAAATATAATTCATATTATTTATACAACAAATAAAATTATTATTATTTTTTTAAATTTCGGACATAATTCGTTTTGGCTGAATAATCATTACGACAGCAACATTCGTACATTAAAATTTGTTCAAACAGAGCTCGGATTAGTGAAAT